TCTACGAGACAGTAATACCCTCTTCTCTTACTAATGACAGGACACCAACAGTGTTAGTACAAGAGAACCAATCATACTCTACGAGACAGTAATACCCTCTTCTCTCACTAATGACAGGTATTGTGCGTGTTGGAAGCCGCAGTAAAAGTGAAAAGTTAAACGAATACTCGTTGGTGCAATGCCTACAACGCGAAAAGCACATAACAGATGTGGCAACCCGCCAAGTGAGAAGAACAGCGAAGAGAGAAATTGAAGACCATAAAAGGCTCTATAAGCGTTCAACTTTCCTACTAAAGGCCTCGCGAACGGCAATTTTGTCACTGCAAGAGCTTTATGATCAGGAATGTGTTGCGGAAAGACATTTCCATCAGTTTTGGGCCAGGGCCGTAAACCGACCAATCAATGAAGTGCTGGTAAGATGGCTGGACATAGAAAGGGAAGGAACAACTCGAAGGTCTAGTTCAGAAGACTACCATCGACGAAATGATTTCCGTATGGAGTTCGCGACACCAGGTTTCATCTTTGACGACGATGAAACTTCAGAGGAGAACGGAAAATTAGGTGGAATAGTCGTCCTGTCCATGCAAGATGCTAAAAATCCGAATTATGTTAGGAGAAATCTCACAACTAACGAGGCAATGACTGACAGTCAAGAAAGAAGAATCCGTGATGTTTACCGATTGCGGAGAAGAGATCGCTGGAAGTTGTACAAACTATGGCTTCAAAGACTGGAGATCAATCAAAAAGAACACTTGAAAACGTTCCAAGAAACATACGAAGAAGCACTGTCGCGTGAAGCCGAACTCAATACTAATCGGGAGTACAAGGTTCTCCGTAAGGCACGTGTCATTGGCATGACAACCACATGCGCCGCCAGATACCGCCGCATTCTGCAACGGATTCGCCCCAAAATCATTTTGATTGAAGAAGCTGCTGAAGTGCTGGAGGCTCACACAATTACCTCACTGACACAAGGGTGTCAGCACTTGATTTTGATTGGAGATCATCAGCAACTGAAACCCAAACCAGAAGTCTACGATCTAGCCAAGAATTACAATCTGGATGTGTCATTGTTCGAGAGAATGGTTAAAGTCGGTCTTCACTGTGAGACTCTCAACATACAGCATCGGATGAGACCTGAAATTGCCGCCTTGATGAAACACATTTATAACGATCTCCAGAGTCATGAATCGGTAGAGAAATATGAAGACATTAAAGGGATGAAGAAGAACATGTTCTTTATCAACCACAGTCATTTGGAGGATCATTGTGAAGACTCCCACAGCCACGTGAACCAACACGAAGCAATATTTTTAGTCGCATTGTGCCGTTATTTATTGCAGCAAGGGTATGCAGCCCATCAAATTACCCTTCTAACAACCTACACGGGGCAGATGTTTGCCATCAGAGACTGCCTCCGCGAGGGAAATAGCGAAGAAGTCGACAAAGTGTGTCTGAAGACAGTTGACAACTTTCAAGGCCAAGAGAATGACATCATTCTTCTTTCGCTTGTGCGCAGCAACAAGGATGGAAATGCTGGATTCCTGAAGATCTTAAACCGCGCATGCGTGGCTCTCTCCCGTGCCAAAAAGGGTTTTTATTGTATTGGAAATTTTTCCCTTCTCTCGGGGGCGGGTGAGATATGGAACAAAATTGTGAAAGACTTGGAGAGAAGTGGTAACATTGGCAACGAATTACCCCTTTCGTGCCAAACTCATCGAGAGGAAAATACACCCAAAACAGCAGATGATTTCAGCGAGAAGGCTCCTTTCGGGGGATGTCTACGGCCATGTTTGGTGCGTCTGAAGTGTGGTCATGTATGTAAACAACAGTGTCATCCACGTGACACTAAACACGAGAATTACACCTGTGATGAGCCTTGCGGAAGAACCCTCTTAGGATGTGGTCACCCGTGCTTAAATCCTTGTAAAGAGCCTTGTACGAAGTACTGTGAAGAACTGGTTGACAAAGTTCTGCCAGGGTGCGGTCACGTTGTGAAGAATATAGCATGTGGCACCAACGTCAACGAATTGAAATGCAAAGAAAGCTGTGAAAAAACCCTCTCCTGCGGCCACCGTTGCCAAGACTACTGTTCGCAGGCGTGCACTCCTAAATGCAACGAGCTCAAGAAAATATCGAGGACAGATTGGCCATGTGGACATGAAGTTACTATCGCTTGCTGGGCCACTTCAACAGATTGTACAGCCCCGTGTGGGGGCTTCTTGGAATGCGGCCACCCATGTACTGGGAAGTGTGGTGAGTGTCGTTTGGGACGGCTTCACAAGGGCTGTATGGAGGAATGTCAACGCCATCTGTTGTGCTCTCACGTCTGCAAGGAGCGTTGTAACATTCCATGCCCACCGTGCCCTAGAAGCTGCGAAAATCGTTGCGAGCACAGTGAATGTGACAAAGCGTGCGAAGAGCTATGCACGCCATGTCGTTATCCGTGCTCGTGGGAATGTCGGCATTACAAGTGTTACAAGCGCTGTCATGAAGTATGTGACAGACCGAGATGTGACGTGATATGCGGCAAAATCTTGCCATGCTACCATGTATGTCGCGGTTTGATGTGCGAGGAGTGCATTTGTGCCGTGTGCATGAAAAATGACGACACATTTAAAGTTACAGATGTATTCTTCGGTGGAGAGGACGAAGAAGATGCCCGGTTTATTAAGCTCCCAGACTGCCAGCACATCTTCGAAGTGTCTGATCTTGACAGGTATTCATAACTTGGTGACGTGAATTTTCGCATTATAGCCCAGAGATGCGAATTGAAAGATCTTAAGCTCGTAATAGGTGCTTTGATGGTGAAAACAATGTTTTCTTTCTATTTTTAGAATGTTGCTCGTTAAAATTTTGAAATTTCCAATCAAAAGGATGTATGAATGCAAAGTTTTCATTGCTATTCATGGAGTAAATTTGGTGTTTGATGTTGGGGAAACTAATGTTGGTTTTTCTCCTTTTTTGTGTTTTGGGCATGGCTAAGTGTCTTCCCAATCATTTTGGGCTTCCCTTGTTTTGTGATCCCATAATCCTATTCTTCCTTTCTTTTTTAGATACATGGACATGTCACCAGTTGACGCGACTGAGGTTCATATGATACAAACGAAAGTGTGTCCTCGCTGTTCGATTCCGATCCGCTCGTGCTTACGATACAGTGCCGTTATCAAGCAGCAGATGCACGACATAGAGAAGGTGAAGATAGAGAAGTGGAAAATATCAAAAATGACAAGTCGTGAGTTGGAAGAGAAAAAGGCTAACCTTGAAAAACGTCTGGAAAGTTTGGAAACAAAGTTTACTGGTGGAAGACGGAAAAATTCGTTGGGAATACTGAAGAACTCTGTTGCTGGACTGCTGAAACATGACGATCAACTCATGGTTTCCATTAAAGAGAATGAAGTCAAGACTGCTCTTATGGAGAACAAAGTGACTTTGATGGAGCGGTTATGTTCGATGCACGTGAAAATGAAGGCGAACCTCACCAAGATCTCGATGGAGATCCTCAAAGAGAATAAGCTACAGAGTAAGTCCGTTTCCATAATTAAAGAAGTTTCTTCGCCGTTTGAATAATTTACCAAAAAGTACGAAAAACTCACATGAAATGAGAGAAATAACAACATTCCCTTCTCCCTCCCTCCCTCAATTATCTGAGACTCTTTAGGGGGTAGTGTCCATCTGCCCATGCAAAAAAGCTTTGTGTTTGCCGTTTTTCTGAAGCACCAATATGAACACGCCCGGTCACTGTGAAGCAGTACACACCTGATCGACATATTGTAAGCATTGGAAACTGATTTTCTCTTGGACAGGTGAACACGCTGAAAATGAGTTGAGCTATCTCGAGAAGCGTTTCATGTCCATCAGAGTAACGCAGAGGGAACTACAAGACATCAACACAGAATTCTCCAGGCTCAATCTCCAACTCGAATACTGTTTGCTGAGTCATGATGTCAAGAGCCTGGATCTAAAGCTAGACGAAAGTTGCCAGGAGATGTTGACTGCAGTAAAGGAGCTATTGTCCTGCGGTAAACGCATAGGAGACGAGCAACTGGAAAAACTGATGAAAAACATAGAAACTATAAGGTACGTTTTAAAAACGAAATGCAAATTTTTTTCAATGTCTAAACTAATAAAGCATTAACTTACTACTCTTTATTCTTTGTGTGAGGTTCAAAGCTCAGGCTAACATTTCAGAAATCTAAGATAATAAAGCATTAACCTTACTACTTTTTATTCTTTGTGTAAGGTTCACAGCTAACATCTCAGAAATAGATGTGAATGAAGAGAACCGTTGTATTTACGTTGCCATGCCAGTTTATCGCATGATATTGTAGAGTAGCGCGAATTTGTTTTTGCCTATAAAAGCGTCTTTCAAAGCTTGACACAAAACAGCATAACTGCCCCCTATAGTGATTGGTTGTGAGTGCCAGATAAGTTTTAGTTTCACTTCACTTAATTTGTAGAAATTCATCTCGTGTCGCAAATCTAAATGCTAAATCCTTCTTGAGAAACATGCAGTAAACAAGAATATTTTTGTATTCAGAACCCACCCAGTTCTTAAGCCACTGACTCCAGAAGACAAAAAGGAGATCGTGAAAGCAATTGGTCTGTCTAAGGGTCATTGGTTCAAATGTCCTCAAGGACATGTCTACGCAATAGGTGAATGCGGCGGCGCCATGGAGACAAGCAAATGTCCTGAATGCAAAGCTGTGATTGGTGGAACGCGCCACACACTGGTGGAGGGAAATCAACTGGCTCCTGAGATGGATAATGCGAATTACCCGGCCTGGTCTGAACAAGCAAATTTAGCTAACTATGGAAACTTAGATGAAATTGAGTGATTTGGTAGAGCTCATTTCGATTAAGTGTCACTCGAAGAAATTAAACCATGTCTATCACCAATAGCCATTCAGAACAAAGTTAAAAAAAAAAAAAAACGCTAGAGGCTCGTGAGAACGCAAAATAAAAGCGCGGGAAAATGCGGGTGACTGGTTTAATTAAGTTTTAAATCTTACTGGATCAGAGATTGGCGCGAGTTTTCTAAACCAATCACAGAGCGGAGTTGAACAAAACCAATGAAATCTCAGATTTCCTCAAACACTGAATTGAAATTGCTCCAAGATGATTATCAGGGATGAATCATCAATTAAAGTATGATATGCTTTGGTTCGTAGCTATTGATAGTTATAGGCAAACTAATGTTTTACTGACGGTCATGCTTCGGGAATAGATTTTTTTAGTGCTTTGAATATTTTACGATCTGATTCCAATGTCCGTCTGATTTTGACCATAGTTAACAAAACTCGATAGGATCGAGACTCTTGAAGACTCAATCGAGTGCTCCACTGGTTAAATTTTTGTTCTTTTTATGACATGATCCAAGTACATTGATGAAACAAAAATACAGCTCAGATAGCAAAACATCATAGAAAAACTATATCTTACTCAGAAGAATTATGTATCGGAGACCCTTGCCTGGCGGGGGAGGACTTGGGTTGCCCTCGACACTTTTAGGAGATTATTATTATTATTCAGGAGATTAAACCAACCAAGTCTTATGATTCAGAAAGCGAAAAAAGTGCAACCCGAAAAATATGTACCGCATGAATCACTCCATCCTCATCTAACAAAATTTCACTCTTAGTAAAAAAAACAGCTTAGAGCTCAACATGGCAGTCGAGTGGGTACCCTGGGTGTGTCGCAGTGTGACCCCTCTTCTAAAAGATCCACGCTGCGTCCCTGTGTAATGTAAATGTGTGTGTTTAAATTCGTGACGGTTTCTGTTAAGGCAAGGTAACCACATGGACAGTTATTAAATTTGTAGAAATGAGCGAACCATTTCGAGAAAATTAAAACTTTCCTTTTCATCCCAAAATCCAAGATCAAAATCATTTGAGAAGTACCTGATATTGTTAGAGATAGAGTTTGCTGTGAAGGAAGGGTGCTGTGTACATTTTATTTGTTGTTGTTATGGATTTGAGTTGTTGTCGCTTTCACAGAACTGAAAATAACAATGAAATTTACTATCTCGGTTTACATTTTTATTGCGCAAAAGCATCACATATCGACATTCCTATACTAGCAATATGTAGGATGTTTGTCATCATGGAGCTGGTTGATGGCCTTATAAAACCTACCACAAGTCTCCCCTAGCTCAAAGGAACTCTCCCGACCTGCCGGGCACGGTCTTAAAATACAAAACGTATTATCAAGATTCCTAAAGAATGCGACAGTAATTAACGAGAGTTTGAGTTGTCTTTGACATAGCCATTCTTAGCGTCTTCCCTGGTCCAACGACCGTGTCGCGTAAAAAGCTGATCAAGAACTCCAGCATTAGCCACAGAAGTGGCTCCTCCAGCTCGAAGACTATGGATACTAATTTTAGAAACATCTGTGAGTTCTCTTAAAGCTTCTTTTATAACTTCTCTGATAATGAAAGCAAATATGAGTCGTAAATACTTTATCAGCTCGTAAAAGAAGGAAAAC